TTCTTCACCGTATTTTGCTTTTCGCCGGAAATCCATGGACGCGGCGAGCTTGACGGCCAAGATCGCCGCGTCCATGGATTTCCGGCGAAAAAGCAAAATGGGGATTTTGTGGTGCGATAAGACTGTCCGCATAAACGTCCGGACTAGGGTGAACCCCGTGTTTTCTTGGGGCAGGAGCTCTTTGGTCGAGGTTTTGCATTGGGGTAGCGTGCAATCTAGCGGTGGGATCGTGTCGTAGCTTGGACTGTGTGGACGCCATCAAACTGTCGGGGTATCGAATCATGAGCATTTGCGTTCAACATTCAACGTACCCTGCCCCACCCCTCGTGTTTTATTGGGGCAGGGCGTGGTCGAGCTTTGCGGTTTAGATGGGGCATTGGGCCGGTGGGCCATCTAGCGGTATTTCTCCGTAGCATGCGCAGTAGTTTTGCTTGTGTAGAAGGTTTGTGCAGGGTGCAGTGGAACCTTTTGATTTCAGTTTGGTATCGGAGCGTCATGGCACTCGCTTTCGACGGCGCAGACGAAACCAACCCTCGTCGTTGGATTCCCTGTCACCAGCGTTTGGCATCGCGCCGCTTGCACATGTACGCGCTTGATCGTTGGCTATATCCTGGTCCTGTCCTGTCCTCGACCGTTTGAACGCGTTCATGCTTGGTCGTCGGGGTCACGGCGGGTGCATGGTGGTCAGCGCGCGGTGTTCTACTCGGGTCGGTGGTGTGTGCATGCAGTGGATTGGTGGCGCGCCGGCAGCGGGTAGCCGGTCGACGTCGTTGGGCCGCCATCAAGATTGCCTTTTGCTGGTGCAACATTGCGACACTGACCAATCGCAGGAAATCCAGTACGCAGCTGTACGCAGCCTGATTAGTGGAATTGCTGTACTAGTATATCAGAATAGTCGGAACATCCGGATGAGATCCGGCATTGGCGCCAGCCGATCACTGTCCATCATCCCCCGTGCTGCAATGGCCCGAGAACGTTGCGACCGTGCGTGTGGCGCGCGACGCATGCGCCTCCGAGCCGTACGTACCTGTATCGTTCAAGTCGACGGCGGCTAACACTGTCTCTGCCAGGCATCGAAAGTCTCGGCGGCGGCATTGGCCTGCAGCACGACCGCTTCGTGAGCTACCGCGCCATAGGCTTCTCCAAGAGACGCCGGTCCACGAAAGCCGCGCCGACAAGCCGGCTTTCGGCAAGGCGTCGCTCGCTATCGAGCTGCCGGGTATGTTGCACCTTTGGCCTGTATGTTGACGGAAGACATGTAGAGAGCGTCGCGCCGCAGGGCGTCCGCGTCTTCGAGTCACTCGACAAGCCGTTTGTCTCGATCTGCGTCATCACGTGCGCCAAGACGTTCCGCCGCTCCTGCTACAAGATCGAGCCGATGCTCTTCTCGACCGAAGGCCGGGACGAGGGCTCGCTGCCGCTCCAGACGTCGATCAGCGCCGTGTGCTGGCTCGACGAGTGCAACGTGGTCGTGGGCGGCGACGACGGCGCCATGATTGCGATCACCGTCGGTCTCTCGATCCTTGGCCACTTGCACGCGTCGATCCACGAAGTTGCGCTCACAGATCACGTCCGCTCGCAGCGGCTCTGGGGCGGCTTCGGCGGCACCCACGCCGTCTTGATTATCGTCCCCGTGCCCAACACCAACCACGACCGCGAAAGCACCGACACGCTCATCGAATCGCTTTCAGTCGACTATGTCCTGCTTGTTTGGTCGTACGAACAGCTCAGGGGCCTCTGCAACCAAGCGATTAAGTCGGTGGTCCGACTCCACGCTGACGCGGCGCCGGCGACCGCCGCGTCGATACCGATGGTTAACCACCGCGTGCTTCTTCACGTGACGAAGGCGACGACGACGACGCTGGACCTTGTGCTGCTTCGTGGCGAGCTCTCGCCGGCGTCGATCGACCTCCACGTCGCTCACCGCTTTGTGCTGGAGCAGCTGCCACTGCACGTCCGACTGGTCGGCTTTAGCGTGGATGACGCGCGGCTTTTCCTGGTCTGGCCGTGTCGTGAGGCGCCAATCGCCTTTTGGGCCCCGACCTCGCCCAGTGGCCAAGGACGGTTCAAGGGCCCTCGCACGACCTTCAAGATAGAAGGATATCCTCGCTGGATGGACGCGTGCCGACCAAGGACCCGCGCAACGTGGCGTCCCGGCGGTGCATCGGTGTGAGACACCGATCCCTCAAGACATTTGAGCCAATCCGAGGCCAGACAGCTGTCTGGTACCAGCGACGCCTTTTGGCAGGCTGTAGACGTCGACAACTGACGTTAATCACATCCCTTTTTACGACTGGAGACGACTGAGCGACATCCCGCCGTGGACCCGTGTTCGGGCTTCACGACAGCCGCGCCGTCGACCGACTCTGTGGTCCAGCACTCACTGGCACTCACGGGCCCCAACCAAATGACAGGTACCGTCCTGTGTGGCATGCATGCGTGGGCGGCCAAGAACGCCGCCGACGACGCCTTGTCGAAAGACAGCACGGATTCGTCGCAGATTGACGTACACTCTATTTTGTACACATTCCATCTTGCTATTCTTGCGTGTCGGCGTTCTACATGCAGCGGCTCGGCGCCCCGGGGCGCTTCGACGACGAGTGCCTCCGCTCGACCTTGTCGACGCTTGTGATGGGCTGGCACTGACGCTCGACGGCCACCGCCTCCGCCGTGCGCTTCTGGACGCGGTCCAATGTTTGTGGTCGTTGCAGGACACCAAGGGTTCGAAGCCGTATACGCTTCGATCATCGACCGTGTGGCGCCACGTCCTCGCCGTCGCCGCGAAGGTACGCCGAATGACAACTTGTCCATCAAAAAGATCGTAAGCGTTCTGCTATGCGTCGCTCGAATGCTAGTGGCAATCAGACGTGCTCGAACTTGACGTCATGACGTCCGTGACGCTTCTGGACGTTGTCCAAGCCGGGCTTTCCGGTGACGCTAGCGCCGGTCGCATGTCCCGACCGTCCTTGCACTGATCGCCAGCGAGCTGTCTGGTTACGCGGCCACGCAAATGTCGATTCTCGATGCCCTCGTCGCTCATGTTGTGCTGCCGTATACCTCAAACGATGCGAGTATGAGCGACCAGGACGTGGCCAGCGACCGACCTCGCCCTTCACTGTATGAGTGCCGTCGTCCTGCACGACATGCGCGCCGCGGCTGCCGCCAGCACGTGCTTTGTCATCTTTCGCCTCGATGTGTCGCCGTCGTTTCTCGCGACGCTGCGCCATGTGGAAGCGACCGTGTGGCCGGCGCTCGAGCGGTCGCTGGCCATGTGGTCCAACTTGTTCTGGCTGTGCAGCCAGACGCAGTCAACGTCGAGTGTGCCCGTGCTGCAGGTGTTTGCTTGGTCGATCTTGATGAGATTCTTGTCGACGGGGACCTCGACGCTTCGACACGGTCGCTCATCGCGGCGGTCGCCGATGTCGCCAAGTTGCTGCCGTTTCTGCAAAACAACGATCGCCACAGCGTCCTCCGCGTCGTGCTGCGTCACGCAAACGACGCGAACGACGATGTCAAGCGTATGTACCTTCTCGGTGACTGCTTGCTGCTTGAACCGACCAAGACAGAGACGGTCTTGGCCCGCGCGGTCCGGTCGTGTCATGCATCTCAAAGGCGTGGCGGTCGTCGTTGAGCACTCCTCGCGGCCTCCAACGTCTTGGAGCTTGTACCCGAAGCGCATCGGTGGTTTGTGTCACAGACCGGTCTCGCCTCGGACGCTGGCGACTGCGCGCTGAATGTCGTTTGGGCCTTTGACGTCCACAAGCAACTGCTCTTGGTCCGCGGCAAGCTCGCGCTGCCCGAGCACAGTCTGGCACTAGGGTCGCTGGGGTCGCCCGCGGTGGTCTCGCTACTACTGACGCACCTTGCGTCCCTGCCCGTGCGGGTTGCGATCGATTGAGCTCGCGTCGGCGATTGCGCTAGCGCTTGAGCCAAAGGTCGTGCTTCGTGCGATCGCTGTTGACTTTTGGTTTGCGTATCCGAAAAGATACGACGTCGTCCGGTTGTGATGTCGAGCGTGGATTGGTTGAAAAGAAGCAAATGAAAAGGGGGAGAATGTCAGTTTTCAAATTGACGGCGACGGAAGATGCCAACGAGCGACGAGGTAGAACGACGACCAAGCGACCTGCGACGATGTGAACGAGCGATGATATAGCAATCGCTTCTCAGTGCTGCATCAAGGGGCAACGTGGCTAACGTCCTAGTCTATCTCGATAAACGCGTCAACGTCAACTGCACGAACGACGTACGTTGGATCTTTCGAATTGAATTGTTTTACATTGTAATCCATTGGAGTAGTATGGTTGGACACCATTGTACAGCGCTGCTTCCAATGGTCGTGTGGACGTCGTTCGCCTCTTGCTTGAGACAGGCGCCAATGTGGACGCGTGCGACAAGGTATGAATTGCGAATCGACGATATAGCGTTATGTATCTTGCTTGAATGCATCCATTGGAGTAGAATGGCTATACGCCATTGCACCAAGCTGCTTCCAATGGTCGTGTGGACGTCGCCTGCCTCTTGCTTGACAAAGGCGCCAAGTTGGACGCGTGCGATGCGGTCCGCTTTTGTCTTGATGACGCTGTTTAAAAGTATCTATGGACGTAGGATGGTTCAACACCACTGCACCGTGCCGCTCAAGGCAACAAACCAGAAATGGTCCAATTGCTCTTGGAAAAAGGCGCCAAAATCGAAGCCAAAAACAGAGTACGTACAGCCACCATGTCGGCGTATCGTGCTGGCATGAAATGTGCCTCAAGACATCGTCAAGGACCAACAATTGTTTTTCTAGGAGGGCAAAACGCCGCTTGAGGTCGCACAAGCACGCGGTTCTAATAATCCCGTCGCAACGCTTTTGCGCGACTATCCTCGCATGCTAAGTCAGGTGGATAGTCGACCAAAATGACGTGCTTCTCTGCCGCGTCTATACTCCCTCTCCGTTTTAGCTCTTTGACGCACTGCGCAACAAGTGCATTGATGACGCCAAGCGCATTCTCCAAAACAGCGTTCTCTACGGCAACCTCCGTGACAGCGTACGCATGTCTTTTCAAACGAATTGCTATGATAGATATGACTGATATGAGTGTAGTCTAAGACGCCGTTGCTGCACTTGGTCGTGGCAACGCAGGATTTGTCACTGCTTCAAATGCTGCTTCAAAAACCAAATCTCCAAATCGATGCCAAAGACTCGGTATTTCCATAAATCGACTTCTCGACCGACATTCTCATATCATTTGTAATGAAATAGGCGGATCACACGGCCCTCGCAGTCGCCATTACCGATGACAACGCCGAGGTGGTTCAGGCGCTGTACCACGCAGGCGCATCCATCCATCTCGTCGATATCCCACCTTGCGACGAGGTTGGATATAAACTTCACTTTGGTGAGAATATTGACAATGTGGTACAGCGTCTATGTGCTTCAACGCCAGTCTTGGTCGCTGCTTTGCGCCAAGCAGCCTCCATCAACGACGGCAGCACGGCGGCTCAACTATTGCGTCTGGGCGTCAGCTGCTCGTTGGCCAACGAGGTATGCAGTATGAGTTGGACAGTCAAAAGCATCTTGGTTTTATCTAGAAAGGCGAGACAGCGTGGCATATGGCGGCTGCAAAGGGCCACATGTCCATCCTCACAATGTTGCTCCAACAAGAGACCAAGGACGAGAACGGAATTGACGTGACCAACCACGTACACTCAACTCTACTTCATTTCCATTTTTACCTTGAACATGGTGTAGAATGGGGAATCACCCCTTTTCGTCGCTGCCACCGGTGGCCACGCTGACGCTGTCAAATGTCTCCTTCGCAGCAGCGCTAGCCCCCACGTCATTTCCAATGTACTGCCTTTGCAGGAGTCGTATCTAAAAGGCGCAAAACCGATGCTAGGATGGATCGACGCTGCTCCACGCGGCTGCGATTGGTGGCAGCATGAGCGTCCTACACCAAGTCGTCCAGTGTGGCGTCAACGTTGAGGCATGCGACGCGGTAGACACTATTGTCTGCGATAGTATCAGTCCAACTCCTATCTCGTTTCAACTAGATGGGGCAGACACCGCTCCACATTGCGTCCGAGAAGGACCGCGACAGCGCGGTCAAGTACCTTTTGGACGTCGACGCCAATGTCTTTGCCAAGGACAAGGTATCGCCATCTCAAAAAACACTAAAGCTCTAGGATGCCATGATTCCTAGACGGGCAAGACGCCGTTAATGCTGGCGACCCACCCACTCGTCATCAACACCCTGCTTCAGGCAGAAAAATCGACCAAGCAAAAGGTAGTCTAAATTATCCAACGCATTCTTCTGCAGTCTTTGCAGGCTCCTCAGCTATCACAGACAATGCTAGACCAGATCGCCACGCGTACATGTATCTGCGACACGGGGGTATTGCGAGACCTCATTCGTACGAGCGTCTGCGGCTCGGAGGAGTTGCTGGGCCAACTCGTGCAGCGGGTTTGCGACCGCCTCGACGTCGGCCGCGAATCTTTGAGGGTACGACTGCTGCATGTGACACGTCATATCCTTCGATGTAGGCCTCGGTGGACCGACCTGAGGACACACGAGGCGCCAGCGTACAACTCGCTTGCGAAACATCAAGGCTATACATATCTGTGGTGTAGGAGCGTGTTCAAGATGTCAACGACAACGACGCCAGCCAAAACCTGCTGGACGACGACAGTGATTCCAACGCCGCGAACGAGGTATTTACTTTAACTCGTCTCTTGAGCGTCAACGCGACGTCGAAACGGTGTAGGCGGGCGACTCTCCTCTGCATCTCGCTGTACAAACCAACGACCACAAGACGTTGATGTCGCTTTTGCGATCGCCCAGCATCAACCTCGACGTTCGCAATACGGTACAACAAAATGCGGTCGACGACAACGATGACAATGACAATATTGTTGTTGTTTAGGCGGGCGTGACGCCGGTGATTCTAGCCATCCAAATGGGCCACCGACGCCTGGCGACGATGCTACAGACAGCTGCGAACCGCATCATCCCCAGCGTACGCATCACTTTCCTACGATCGATCTTTCTTTACCATGGGCGGCTCTAGGTGCCGGCCACGGACATCAAGATGGACCAATCTAGTCCAATCTATGGCACTGTGTACAAGGGCACGTACAAGGGTCGTGTCGTCGCCATCAAAACGCCTGCCGATGAGTCCTCCGCCCAAGCAATTATCCATGAGATGGAGACCATACAGCAGTAGATCACCTTGGTCCTGTGTAATGATTTAAACGTTAATGATTGTAGGTGCAACTCGCCGTACGTGCAGCAGCTGCTCGCCGTCTCGGATGTCAACTCGACCAGTCCCAAGCTCTTGCTCGAGTACATGGACGCGGGGGATTTGCGCAGCTACCTCGACGCCAAGCGACTCGGTGTGCCCACCAAGGTCAACGTCTCTCCATTGGAAGTCGCGTGGGTACTTGCAAATGCGCTCGCC